AATTTGGTATTACATAATATTGTGAGGGAAGTAGAAGAGATAGACGGTAAATCCCTTCTGGAGTATAAACGTAAGAAGGAAGAAAATTTTAAAGAGATCTCTTTTATCTGTGGTTTCAATCAGAACAGCAATCAGATTAGAAAAACAATAAGAAAATATTGGCCTATTTTAAAGAACGACCCTATGTTACACAGCATACTACCAGATCAGCCCAGAATTGTATATAGAGGTGCACCACATTTAAAACGTTTCTTAACTAATAACCATATAAAAGAAAAAAGTTTACCCCCTTCTTTCAAAAGCAAGGTTTCTTTGGGTGTGGACAGTGCCTGGCTTGCAGGAATACCAATAGTAGCAAGAGACATCTCACATCCTTTGAAGACCCTCAAAGTAAAAAGGAATATAGATTGAGGATCATGACTACATGTTTTTCTAAAAGGGTTACTTATATCTTACAATGTCCATGTGGTCTGTACTGTGTCTGTGGTATGTAGAGAGAACTAAATGCCCCCTGCATGTACGAATCAATGAACATGAAATATTAAAAAAGGATATGAAAAGCATAATGTGTCCCTTCATTTTAAAATATTACACAATAGTGACCTTAGTCTTTTAAAAAAAATTGCTATTCAAAAGGTGGAGATAAATTGGAGAGGGGAAGATGAAATTAAAAAACTTGGCCAAATAGAAATGAAATGGATTTTCAATCTCAATACACTTGCCCCTTTTGGTCTCAATGTTGATTTTGAGTTGTTTCATTTTCAATTTCTAATTTTTCTTACATTTACTTACATTTCTTGCATTTTATATAGTGTTTTTATTTCATAAAAATAAACAACGATTTGCTTCTCCCTTAAATGTAGTTTAAAAAATTGTTTTTGTCTCTTCCACACTCAAGAGTGTACTCATTTCTGGTTGACTATTAAGTTTTATACTATACCTATATTCCAATTTACCCTTATATCAGTATTTTTTATTAGAATGTATGGGTTTTACATTAAATTGTTGTTTTACGATTTAAATATAGACCTATATGTTTTTTAATGTACTAACTATGTTTGTGTTTTTGAGTGATTATAAAGGACTTTTGTTCAGTTCATTTTATCAATTATGATACCAGAAGAACGGACTTTAGAAGACAAATGGGAAGAATGAAGCATGCTGGGATTTGTAGGAACAACTAGAACCCAGAAGTGGCGTATAGGCAAATCAAGCCGGCCGGGAGTGACGCGACGGCGTCAAACCAGAAATGAAACCCAGCCGCATGCGAAAAAAGGCGCAAAGAGGAGATTTAAAACCGGACACCAGTAGACTTACAGACACAGACTGAGGAAGCCGAAGAGGACGGCGAAACGCGTTTCTGACGGAAGAGGAGAGAGAGGATATTTAGTATTTATGCATGCTACTTTTACATGTATTTTATTTTTATTTTTCGTCTAAATAAATTATAATTTTAAGTTATTTATATTCCATCTCCTCCTCATATTTGGTATCCGGTTGAATGAAATGTCACTTCTTAATTGACACTTATGCCTGCAGTACTTAGAGCGAGTTACCAAAAGGCTCTATAAAAGGTGAGCATTGAGCTTATATATATATATTGCACCATCTGGCTTAAGACAATCTGCACCAGGAAATATCTTTTGTGCTTTATTTAGAGATACAATCCACTGACAGAGGGAAGAAAGGAACAACCCCTACCCCTAGGTGTTACTGTCTACCTTTACAGGCACAGTGGCTGATGTGTTTAGAGCCTATACCCTTATAAAAGGCTCTTTAAAATGTGAGTTTCCTTTTTTATTCATGTACTTTCCACTAAAGGATAACTGGACAATACTACTCTATATATCTCTTTTTGTTTATTTTACATGCACACCCCGTGTGTACTGGAAGGGGTAAGTGCATAAGGAGTATTATTATCATACTTTTAGCGCTGCACTTATATCAAGTTGTGTTGAAGTTTGTTGCATTCTGATTCACTGCTTGGTATCTTGTTTTCTTATGGTTTCACAATTTTAATGGTTTTGGAGTATCCACTAAAAGTGCATATAGCAGCTTTAACAAATAATTCTCACTGAATAACTATTAAGCGCCTTTATTCTAGCCACATCCTTTTTTGTATCTTTCTATAACTTAAATAATTGTTTTTTATTTGCTGTAGCAATGCTTCTGTAAAAACGGTGCATTTGGTCGATTAGAAATATTTATTCCAGTGTAGTGATTTTAATCCACATAGTTTTTGGAAGCTTGTATCACTAGAAATATATTTTCAAAATAAGATTTATTTTGCTGTATGTTTAAGCTATCACCGTTATTTACTGATGTATGACTTGCTGGGAACTGATACTGAATTCAAAGTGAATTTCAGATTTTAGGTTGTGTTTAAAAATCACTTTGAGTTCTTTAGAAGTCAAACTTTAGGATTTAAACCTGTCTGTACTTTGTTGGTTTTCCTATACAAATTCCCTATGCTGTTTAATAATCATTAATATAATGATATGCATTTTGTTTAGCTCATTCAGTGGTTATCTATGTTATTTCTTTATTTCTGATGCTTCAAATTATAAGTTTCTGTCTGAAAGTGTGGTGATCTTAAAAGTGGTGCAAAGTTCTAAACGTAGGGCAGTCACCATGGTACCCAGTGGAAGAAGCAGACACATTTAGTTGGTTGCTCCACTTTTAGAAGTCTGAACCATATTTTATGAAACAATACGTTGATAAATCACCATTTTAGAAACATAGAATGTGACGGCAGATAAGAACCATTCGGCCCATCTAGTCTGCCCAATTTTCTAAATACTTTCATTAGTCCCTGGCCTTATCTTATAGTTAGGATAGCCTTATGCCTATCCCACGCATGCTTAAACTCCTTTACTGTGTTAACCTCTACCACTTCAGCTGGAAGGCTATTCCATGCATCCACTACCCTCTCAGTAAAGTAATACTTCCTGATATTATTTTTAAACCTTTGTCCCTCTAATTTAAGACTATGTCCTCTTGTTGTGGTAGTTTTTCTTCTTTTAAATATAGTCTCCTCCTTTACTGTGTTGATTCCCTTTATATATTTAAATGTTTCTATCATATCCCCCCTGTCTCGTCTTTCCTCCAAGCTATACATGTTAAGATCCTTTAACCTTTCCTGGTAAGTTTTATCCCGCAATCCATGAACCAGTTTAGTAGCCCTTCTCTGAACCCTCTCTAAGGTATCAATATCCTTCTGAAGATACGGTCTCCAGTACTGTGTATAATACTCCAAGTGAGGTCTCACCAGTGTTCTGTACAATGGCATGAGCACTTCCCTCTTTCTACTGCTAATACCTCTCCCTATACAACCAAGCATTCTGCTAGCATTTCCTGCTGCTCTATTACATTGTCTGCCTACCTTTAAGTCATCAGAAATAATCACCCCTAAATCCCTTTCCTCATATGTTGAGGTTAGGACTCTATCAAATATTCGTACTCTGCCCTTGGGTTTTTACGTCCAAGATGCATTATCTTGCACTTATCCACATTAAATGTCAGTTGCCACAATTCTGACCATTTTTCTAGTTTACCTAAATCATTTGCCATTTGGCTTATACCTCCTGGAACATCAACCCTGTTACATATCTTAGTATCATCAGCAAAAAGACATACCTTACAATCAAGACCTTCTGCAATATCACTAATAAAAATATTAAAGAGAATGGGTCCAAGTACAGATCCCTGAGGTACCCCACTGGTGACAAGTCCATGTAGGTATTTATTTAAGATAAATATTAGCCTGGTAAAACTGGCAGTAATGTTTAGTTTCAGAATTATTTATCTGAAAGTAACATTTTCTAACTCAAAGATGATTTCTGGGTGTGGCTTTGGTCACAACTCGAGTTGTTGGAAGCCACTGCTTCAGCGTTGCTGAGAACCAATTGAAACTGGCAACAGCAGGGCCTTCCAATAAAACCACATTCTCTAGCATTTTAGTGTTGTGGTCCAGTCATCTGTCATGTCTATAGCATGCATTAGGGCAGCATCTTTGACACCAAGACGGTTATTCACGAAAGAGAGAATTCAAGGTGATTTCAAAGTGAATTTAAACTTTAAATTCAAAATCGCCAAACTGGAAAAAATTAAGTCAACTATGCTTTCAGTTTGGCTACTCTGGCCTTAAATGTATAATTCACTTTGAATTCACCTTGAATTCTCACTTTAATAAATAACCCTTACATTTTGGCTTATGTCCCATTGTGAATGCTTCACCATTTGTGTGTACGTGTACAATTTACACCATGTATATAGAAACGTACAGAAATACTAAAGTGGTTTCATCCGCTTCACTGAGTTTTCAGATTGACCTTATGCATCATATGAGCCATAAGTGTCATACTGTCTGAAGTTAGGAATTCCTGTGCCAGAATTCAAATAATTTATTGGTGACTAAATTCACACTCCACTTTTTTGTGTTACCTTCCAACTCTATTCATTTTTGGACATCCAACCTTTGGTTTTGTTTGGTTACTCTGTTTTTTTGCTACCCGTTAAACCATCTTTGTAACCATAACCGCCTCCTATACCACAAATATATTAGTGACATGTTAGTGACATGTTACAAAATACTCTCTGAGAGGCTAAAAATGTATTTTCTGTTTTATCACTTTCTGTAGAACAACTGCAGTCTAGATAAATGCTTTCCAAAGATTTACTATCTGAATTAGCAGTATGTATAGAACCATGGATGGTTACAGGTATAATAAACTGCGGGTAATATAGTCAAAGATCTAGATAGATAGTATATCTAAGTTGCTTTGACAGGGAAATCACATACCACCCGGAATAGAGACCCAGGTTTATTTTATGCATTGTAACTAACCCATGTAAACGAGATAATCACTATGTCAGTGGCGTAAAATATGGCTATGGTCAAAGAGAAGTAGCAATTGAATTCACAGCAAAAAAACAAAAAACAAAATCACAAGTATAGAAATAATAAAAAAGCGTGAAAGTGTAATTTGCCTTATATAAAACTTTATTTCTGTGTTTCAGAAATGTACACTTTGCAAAATACCAGTCTAATACAACTGACAGAATCACAATGAACCACGTATATTGTGCTTGTCTCGCCTTCATCTGCAGTACTCTAATAAATATATTGATACAGAAATAAGCATAGAAACGGTGATTATGAACATCAGTGATTATGTTAGTGTTACAGTCGTGCGATGTTCTTTGCCAAAAACTGTTAAGACAGAAGGTATTGTAAAAGAATTGAGTCATAATGCCTTGTTTTAGTCATGAATAGCCGACAAATTTCAAGATGAGTACATTTGATAAATTCAGAAGTAAAATCAATGAAAAATGACAGCAGATTAAACAGAGCAATATATAATACTTTGTGCAGCTCATTTTGTATTCAGAATGAGAAGTTTCTGTAAAATTTTGAGTTTTAGGACTAGATGTATTTTCTACAGTGATATATTATTTAGATACATCAAATACATAGGTACTTCAACTACTTTTTAGTTGATGACTTCTGGTCCAGTGAGAATCCTAAAGTATCAAACATGTATTCCTGACCCTATAGTGTTAAAACCACCATCTAGCCCCCCTGATTCCCTCATGCCTCCATAAATATAGTAACAATCTTACTGTATTCAAGTCTGAAGCTGTAAATCTGCATGCTGTTAGACTCAGAAAAACAAGCAGTCTGCTGACATCATTAGAAGTGGTGGCCTGATCCAATCACAATGCTTCCCCATAGGATTGACTGAGACTGACGAGGAGGCGGATCAGGGGCAGAGCCAGCATGATTCAAACACAGCCCTGGCCAATCAGCATCTCATCATAGAGAGGCATTGAATCAAAGAATCTCTATGAGGAAAGTTCAGTGTCTGCATGCAGAGGGAGGAAACACTGAATGTTTGGATGCATTTTAGGCAACCATGACCCAGGAAGGATCTCTAACAGCCACCTGAGGTGTGGCCAGTGAAGTTATCACTAGGCTGTAATGTAAACACTGCATTTTCTCTGAAAAGACAGTGTTTACAGCAAAAAGCCTGAAGGTAATGATTCTACTCACCAGAACAAATTTAATAAGCTGTAGTTGTTCTGGTGACTATAGTGTCCCTTTAAGTCATCAGTGTTTCTGTTGTGTTTCAAGTCATCCCATCACGATCGTCTAACGCTTTTCTTAGAATTGTATAGACATTAGCACAAAGAATTATATTTGTATTTATGGGGAGTTAGCAACAAGGACTAATTATTGGTTATACAAATATATCGTCAGAGACAAATGCATATCTTAGAGTTCCATACACGCCCTTTTCTATAAAATAAAGCTATACAAAAAATAATGAATATCATACCTAGAAACACTGGCAGTTTAGTATCCCATATATACCGCATCATATTTTTATAGGAAAAATGTAACAGTCCCTAGTGACCTAGTTTGGGAATGACCTCAATTGTTCTGATGTCTACTTGAATCCATATACCATAAACCTATGCAAATGTTATCACATTTGGATATTTTTTACTTATTGGACCAAACAGAAAAACTCTACCTCTGTTCCTCCACTAAAACTCATATTAGTTAGCAAATGTTCAATCTCCTTACCAGAAGTACATTTGAAGACCTCATAAAGTGGGAAATAAAACAAAAATGAAAGATGCTGTAATTTAAGCATACATAATCACCAAAATACCTATAAATACACCTCACTTTTATATGTCTTTTGGTGATTTGATATATATAGTTTAATTACAGCATCCTTTATTTTTGTTTTGCTTGACCTTTTATAGGGGTTTCAAATTTACTTCTGATACTTCTAATTTGAGGATCATGCTCTTAGAGTCCTTTAAAAATAGCAGTCTTCCAGACAGGATAAAATGTAGACCAATAAGGTTTATGCTTGGTAAATCAGCATTTCCTATATTCTAATAAATGTTGAAAATTCTAACAGGTCAAGATGTAGAGACTGCTTCCTATAAACAAAATAATTCAGAGGTAAAGCATTTAAGTCTTGGGTACCTAATTGGGTGAAACCCTAAAAAGCGTGCACAGTTGCATTCTCATGAACAATGGAACTGTGTATACTATAATTAATTCAAGATAGAGGCAACATTTAGTTATTGTTAGTCATACAATAATTTTCCTTTTTTATTTTATAATTTGAATTAAAAGAAACAAACAAAAATCTTGTATGTAACCTATATACGGTTTAGAAAAAACAATAAATCAAATGGATTTTAGTAATGTGAAGCCATTTTTCAGAACTGATACCATACTATACTCAGTCATTGTTAGAATGTTTGCAAATCCATGAACCAAGCACATCCAATGATTCAGGGTAAGTCATTTCTTTAGACAAGGAATAGTTAGCAAAGATGAACTATACTTAAAGATGTATAAATCTCACAAGTTGCGTATGTCATAAACAATGCTGAAACATGGCGGTTCACAGAGGTAATTTTCTCCAGAATAGAATGGAAACTGAGATAACTGAATACAAACAAACGTATTTTACACTAGTGACTGCACTGTATAGCAAGACAAATGAATGCTTTGATAAGGTCCTATGATGGATTGTTGTACAAGTTAAAGTAATAAAAAGGTCATATGTCAGAGACCTGTCTGCAAAGAATAGACCTACATGAATTAATCCAAATTTACGTGAATCATATATACCCAAATAGCTTTTACATCGGAAAAAAAACTGCAATTTATTATGCTCGGACTAATTGGTTGTACTATAACTGATTAGGGAACACTGGAACATAATAATTTGTATGGGCACAAGTGACAAAAGCATTATTAAACCCCTTTTTCTTCCAATTTTGTTTTAACCTCTTCATCAAGGACTTGCCACATTTCCCATGACCCAATAAGACTTTACAAATCTTTTACATTTAGGTATTAAAAACTGAAACACATGGGCCATGCATATTGAAATATGTTATATGTATCTGAAAAAAAACAAACAACATTTCAGAGAAGGGCTTTCCAATATTGGTCATCCTTAACTTTAATTATTATTTGAGATTTTACATATTTATGATTGTCCTGCATTTGCTCATCAGATGAGTAGCTAAGTACTACAACCATGGGAAAGGAATACAATCACAAATTCTTCAATAAAGATGAGTAAAAAGCCTGCATAAACCACTATGAAAGAATTGATCTCAGTAATGGAAGCAATTTCGCTATATGTAAGTTTTATTTGATATCTATGCTGGACAGTCTTCAGGAATCTAAAACATAGTCTTTCATTAGTGGGCTAATTTGAAGATTGAGACGACCATGGTAAAATATTGCATGGCTAGTTACATGTTTCATTGTTGGCATTATTGTGTGTTTGTAGTTGTTGTATGCTTGTGGTTAGTACCTTGACAGAAGAACCACTTATAGTGCTGTCTAATACAGCCAAAATGCCGAGCTGATGCTGAGAACTCGCACGCCCCATGGAGGCACGTTGGAATATGCCACTGACTCTTTATGTCACCTACCTTGATAAAATAATCTCTTAGCATAGAAAGTTACTGCTGTACAATACATTAGGTATAATATTATTTTGCATTATTTCAATACAAAACTAAACAATGATGTGCATGGTTAAAGAGACTTTAGCCATGCACCCATTTCTAATCTATTTACCAATGTTGCCTATCAAACACCAGTCTCTCACATTTGAGAAACACACTCGGTCAAGATATTTATCTGACATCCCTTCTGAACAGATTATTAGCATGAAGATTTTTTTATAACAAATTATTAGCATGATAATTTTTTTATACATATCTGATCATCACAAAGTTCAATCAAGGTCTGTAATCCCCTTCAAATGTAACCATTCCCTTTCTTTCCCTTCCTTTTCATTTTTCTCACTGTGTGTGGAGGTAAAAATGCTTTCATACCACTGTTCCACTGTTTTTGACAATCACCCTAATAATAGTTGTGTATCTGGGTTCATAGCTTGATTCACAAAGGTCATCAACCATTAACCTCTTTAAATTAGTTATTTATTTGACAATCTCCATGATGGTAAATCATAGGTTTGTTAATGTAAAAATTACAATACAGTTCACTAAGACATTCAGTGGCAACTACATTTTGTATTTTGATTTTACACCAAATAATAATTTGAGAAAGTATCTGAGTACATAAATATTTCTTTCATGAACAATTAATAATGTATAAATTTAATTCTACATGTAAATTAAACTTGGCTCGTTACATGTGTATTTCTAAGTAGCATTATCACATTTTCTTTATTGAATATGTCAATAATTTGGGGGGCATCCAGAATAAATGTTCCACTACTCACAGCTGAATTAGTGATATTTTATTAGTAGATCTTACAAAGTGAACCAGAAGTGGGAAAAGACCCCACACAGTTGTTGAAATGTAGGACAGCTTCATAAAGTATCACAAATTCAATTCTAAGTGGCTGGGAATGTATTCTAAACATTGTTTAAGGTGGTTTTGGGTGGAAAACATTTCTCCTGACACCTGCTAAAGTGAGTGAATGTCTGTGTATTGCAGTTGAATAATGAAGGGTTTACATCGAAAAATTAGAAGATCTGTTGTCACAAATGTGACTTTCACTTAATAAAATTACTTTGGCAACTTGGTATCAATTTTCCGCTGAAGAAATTAGTTTTTTTTGTGTGTGTGTGTTTTTTTTTAAATATCTTAAAATGCTTTTATATGTAGCAATTAATTATACAATTATTACTCTGTAATTGCAAAAATGTTCTATCGTAAATAAATACAACATTGGTCCATGACTTTACATATACATATAGACTCCAGGCGATGAACCTTCTACGTTTCACATGTTGAAATAAAGATTAGTGCAAGAATTAAGTACATTTAATGTAGCTGAATAGAGTTAAAAAATCAAGTTTCATAAAAGGTGTCCCCTAATAACAGATCTTTATCATGTCAGTCCATTAATTAGGGACTTAACGTAGGAGATGTTAAATGTTTTTTTGCCTACATTAAAACATATACTTCTTTTAGTGCACCTTGCTCTCTTTACTCTTTATAAAGGGAAGCAATCATTACGAACATTCTAGTTCTGTTTTCATTTAAACACAAGTCTTAAATAGTCTTAAGATTATTTGGATTTCATAGGGTACTGGTTCCAATAAGGTTATTTTTAAGCAATACTTTTTAGCACAAGTCCTGCACAATATAAATGGGCTGTTTGAACACCACAATTTAAGATGTGCATGTAGATTTCAGTTCCATCCTGTCCCATCTTCCCGACTTAGTTCCCTGGTTTTCCACTTTTGGTCGTGATTATGTCAGTGGCCCTGCCCCCTTTACCTCACTCCCACCAGCATCTTGAATCTCTGGAAATCAGAGATAGGAGATTTGTCTCCTTATCGGGAAAAAGTGGCCAATTCAGGTTAAAAGAAAAGCTTAATTGTCATTATTACAGAGCTTCATGTAAGTTTTTTACTTCATGTTACAGTTCCTCCACTACTTTAGGTATCTATGTTGGTTCTAATGCATTAGAATAGTCAGTTGCCAAAAAACTGTTAGACTTTTCACTCACAATTTGTGAAACGTTGTTAACAATAAAATGAATACACTACTTTTTATCAAATGTAGTTTCTTATCATAGTCTACGCTTTCAGTTTTGTATTTATCTTTGTGATTTTTCTAAGATGGTATATTGTGCTAAAAATATATGTTTTTTATGATTCATATTTTAAAGTTTTTGTATTTTATGGTGATTTTCCTACATTGGTGTCTGCATTTCCAGCAAAGTAGTAAAAAAAAAGGGTAAACAGTGCAAAAAATAGAAAACCAAATTGTTAAATGACAGGAGGTTTTTTTTAAATAATTTAGTTTGGCTAACTTTAGCAATGTTTGGGTTGCCTTCATTTCATAAAAGTAAATCTGTTTAATTTTCTACGTGAAATAATAATTTGTGTAATTTCTTCATATTTTTTTTTAAACTGAGCTAGATATTAAGAGATGTTAAGTGGCCCTTTTTCAGGGTCCCTTTGTTCCTGAGTTATTTGTATTAGTTGTCCTGGTGTGTCACACAAAACAAAGTACAGATATGCCTGCAGGTTGTCCAACATCTACTGATGACATTGAAGATTTCTGTTAAAGTCTAGAGCAGGTCCTACCTGGTGGTCACATATTATCAACTAGGTTTACATGTCATTTTGTTATAGCATTTATAGATCCCTCAATGTGAGATGTACCTATTTATGTTTCTTAGAGTGCAACACACCTCACTTTATGTCAGGAGTTTGGGTACCACAGATATATGACAGGAAAATAAACGATACGATAGTGAGGCCATAAAGAGCATAAGGTGCCTTTCCTGAAAGGGGCAAAATATCAATTAAAATGCTCCTCTGTAGTTTGGTTTCATTAATGTGGCAATAAAGGTATATCTTTTTTTCCATTTTTATATTGAGCTCAGTAGCAACAATCTTTGATAGGGAGAGATCTCAAAGTATGAATGTAATATAAATGTTAATCTTCATAAAAAAATATTTATTTTCTAAAATTAACACTAAATTGATTTAATCAAAAACATGGTGGATCTCAACTAGAAACATAGCATAGATATGCTTTTGTAAACTGGACATACACATGTATTAATGCCATATATTTTTATGCAGCAGATATCTATATATGTTTTTAGCACCCGGGCACAAAACATAGTGCCGTCATTTTTACTTTGTAATTTTATACATATAGCCATTTTACTAGGATTTAGGATACTGACAATACCTGGACCACTGGTGTGCCTTGAGTATCAGGTTGGGAACTATAGTGATTTCATGATTAGATCCCAAAATGATCACTATTTTGCTAGAGTGTTATTATTTTAATTATAGTGTCCAAATACATCTTATTAGTTAATCAATTCAAATCAACACTTAAAAACACAAGATTGTAGTTTTTTTTAGTATCTGTAAAATACCCGGGGATAAGGTTAGCAAAAATGTGTGAGAATCACTCCTATAACACACCTCTATCTCTTCAGACGAGATCATAGTCTAAGGTGCAGAAGATACTTATTATTTATACAGATGTAACCTGATAACCATGTCCAAAATAATTTGTTCAAATATCTGATATGAAGGAGAGTGATTTGAATAACATATGTGATTCCCTTTGATTTCATTGGTCAATTTGAAGAAAACCTTTTGCATCTAGATTTTAGTAAAGAAATGTCTTGTTATTCAGAGAAATTTCACAAGTGCTTTTTGTGGAAACATGGAATAAAATATTTATAGCATACATGTCAGTTGATACACCACAGTTCCATAAGCAAATTACAGTGATAACATGCAGTGTCTCCCTGACACTGTGATCAACACGTCCTTAATAGCGATGTTGTCTGCATTGGCTTCCTGAGTACAGTAAAGGGATCTGCAATGTGTGGCAGATCACTGTTGCATTGAAAGCGATGTCTTTTCATGCATCAATAAATCATCTATCTGTTAGCAGGAACACCGGAGGTTTAGCTCCCACAGAGTGACAGCTTCACAGAATGATAGCGTGATGGAGACAGCAACAGTAAGCAGTAATAAAAGTTAAAAACATAAAAGCTAAGTTTTTTTTTTAGTTGCAGTTTTGCACAACAGAATATTATCAAAGACAACACAAACTGATAATGGTGGTCTCTTATCACATATAAAGAACATACAAGAATGTTCGAAACTTAAATATATCATAGAAATTCATAAATATTTCATTTGTGTCTCTCTTTTTCTTTAAATATGAAACATCACTAATCGCTTAAACAGCAATAGCACTGCATGAAAATCTGTGTACCTGGTTTCCTATACAGAAGAACACTTCAATATACATTCATTGTCCACATAACAACTTATATTTCACATGTATTTTCTTTTGTTCAAATACGAAAGCAATGTCAGCTTTCATGTCTTCAGGACTTTTCTCCTTTTAGAGAGCGGAATCGGGACAACACCAAATTATGACATCTCAGGAGACGACTGACGAAGACAAAACCAAACCACTTATATATGTATTCTGCTCCATCTTAGTCATACATTTGATGCATTTATTTTTATGACTTGCTGTTTCTGGTTGTAGGAGCCCATCAGTAGGTTTCTTAAACAAGTCCTCTGGCTGGTTTAAATAAATTCAGGCACTGATATAGGTGCCTTTCAGGGGGTTGGTGGAGGCTTTGGTGAAGGACATGATCCTTGGCTATCAAAACTGGCTGCCCGGCCTTGCCACTATAACCAAAATAAAAAAATATTGACATGAATTAATTTTAAAACAGAAAAGTCTGGTAGGTACTGTTATGTGCAAATCAATTTTCTATACTTTATACTAAATTCTACTGAATCAAAACTGTCAAAACTGAATAAAAAACAGCAGATTGTGTTTGTATAAAATTACCATGTTTATGCAACATTGTTCTACACATTTAGTTTAAATTTTAATTGTGGCCCAACATGAAGTCAATATAATGCAAATTAAGATCCATCTGCTATTTTAAAGAGCAATTATTTATTATATACATTATTTATTGTTAAACATATTTCTTGGTGAAAGATACCAAGAATGTGGGTCAGTTGAAAAAAAAAATATTCTGTCAGTAAAACTAGTATAATTGTGGTACAAAGCAATGAATTTTAATAGAATGCTATAAAACAAAACATAAAACGTATTCTATGTATATTTTGATATCTTGTCTACTGGACTTATACGGCTAATCCAATCTACGCTATATATATATATATGTGACATCAGTCATTTAGTCTGCATCGTGTCATCTGAGGATGGCTATCCTATAAAATAAACATGCACACCGCCTTCTCTTCTAGGGCTCTCATTCACTCACAGCATCAGGGGTATGTTACTATCTGGACCTAATTATATGCTACACACTAAACACAGAAGCCAGAAGTTGTGTGATGACCTGAAGGTGGTCAGAGAAGAGGGATTGATGTGTAGTTTTGAGATGAGAAGGAGGAAGTTTATGCTTTAGTGTCAGAGTCAACTGCCCAATTGTAGTGTGAGTAGAAGAGATGCACAATGTGTGATTGGGCTCATCATCTTAAAATATCACTAGTTAAAATCCCGTCCAGTTAAAGACAAATGATAAATTAAATTCACACTAAAAATGAGAGCAGTATAATACAGGATTAGTATACTTGCTTATTTGCTGAGCATTTTAGATGACTTTAGTAAACAATTCACTTGATAATTTGTAACAGCTTAAAAATAAATATTTTCCTTTTAAAATGCCACGGCGTTAGTTGATATTGCATCATTCTCTATGGCTCGTAAAACACTAAATGAGTAACAGAAACAATTAGCACATATATGAGGCCTAAGACAAGCCCTTCTCATTTTTAGAGCTTCCCTTTGACTGAAAGTAGCCATTTGTGATTACAGGTGATACTCGAAAACTTAGAATATCGTGCAAAAGTTCATTTATTTCAGTAATGCAAAATAAAATGGGAAACTAATATATGAGATAGACGCATTACATGCAAAGCAAGATAGTCCAAGCCGTGATTTGTCATTAGTGCGATGATTATGGCTTACAGCTCATGAAAACCCCTAATCCACAATCTCAGTAAATTAGAATATTACATGCAATCAATAAAACAAGGAGTGTACATAGAACAATATCACACCTCTGAAAAGTATAAGTATGCATATGGACTTAGTACTTTGTTTGGGCCCCTTTTGAGGCAATTACAACCTCAATGAGGCGTGGCATGGAAGCTATCAACCTGTGGTATTGCTGAGGTGTTATGGAAGACCAGGATGCTTCGATAGCGGCCTTCAGCTCTTCTGCATTGTTCGGTCTCATGTCTCTCATCTTTCTCTTGGCAGTGCCCCATAGATTCTCTGTGTGGCTCAGGTCAGGTGAGTTTGCTGGCCAATCAAGCACAGTAATCCCATGGTCATTGAACCAGGCTTTGGTGCTTTTGGCAGTGTGGGCAGGTGCCAAGTCCTGCTGGAAAATGAAGTCAGCATCCCCATAAAGCTTGTCTGCGGAAGGAAGCATGAAGTGCTCCAAAATCTCCTGGTAGACGGCTGCGTTGACCCTGGACTTAATGAAGCACAGTAGACCAACACCAGCAGATGACATAGCTCCCCAAATCAACACAGACTGTGGAAACTTCACACTGGACTTTAAGCATCTTGCAGTGTGTGCCTCTCCATTCTTCCTCCAGACTCTATGTCCTTGGTTTCCAAATGAGATGCAAAAGTCCTCAGAAAAGAGGACTTTGGACCACTGAGCAACAGACCAGGTCCGTTTTTCTTTAGCCCAGGTAAGATGCTTCTGACATTGTTTGTTGTTCAGGAGTGGCTTGACATGAGGAATACGACATCTGAAGCCCATGCCCAGGATCTGTCTGTGTGTGATGACTCTTGATGCACTGACTCCAGCCTCAGTCCACTCTATGTGAAAGTCCCCAACCCTTTTTGAATTGCCTTTTCCTGACAATCCTCTCCAGGCTGCGGTCATCCCTGCTGCTTGTACACCTTCTTCTTCCACACTTTTCCCTTCCACATAACTTTCTATTAATGTGCTTTGATACAGCACTTTGTGAACATCCAACTTCCTTCGCAATTACCTATTGAGGCATTCCTTCCTTATGGAGGGTGTCAATGATGGTTTTCTGCACAACTGTCAGGCCAGCAGTCTTCCCCATGATTGTGATTCCTACTGAACCAGACTGAGAGACCATTTAAAGGCTCAGAATACCTTTGCAGATATATGGCTTACTTGGCTGATTAGAGTGGGACACTGTGAGCCTAGAATGTGGATTTGTGGTTTTCATGAGCTGTAAGCCATAATCATTGCACTTATGACAAATTACGGCTTGAACTATCTTGCTTTGCATGTAATGCTTCTATCTCATATATTAGTTTCCCCTTTTACATTGCATTACTGAAATAAATTAACTTTTCAAAATTTTCGAGTATCACCTGTATTATCCCTGGTTCATATTGAAGAATACTTGGCTGTCACTGTTCAGCTCTGCTCTGTACATACGTGTATTACTGTATATGTATCTTGCTTGAAGCCCAGTAAGATCTTTTATATTCCTTTGAGAGTCAGGGTGTGGGGAGTCACACTACTAGCAGACACAAAGCAATAAGGACTAAACTTTTAAGCAGACAAATCTAAGAAAAAAAGCTCTTTATTTTATAGCAGTGAGAATCTAACTGAATCAAGCTTAAGATCTGCAACTACATGAGTACTTACAAGCCTAGCAGTTAGTTAAATAGTTTGGTTTTCACCCTGGCAGCCAGGGTCCAAATCCTTGCATGGGAATAAAACATTCTTTATTAGAATTATTTGTTCAATCAGAGAAAAGCAAATAATGTTTGAGATTTTACATCACAATAAATATATAAATTTTCACAGTCCAACGACAGAGAAACTTAATAAGTGAAATCAATTTAGTTTTGTCCCAGTTTTATTCACAAAATATATAAAAATTATATACATATGGCATTGTAAAAATGTTTGCGTTAATTATAGTACATAGTGAAAAATAAAGAATCGAAAGAAGAAACATGCATAAGTAGAAAAAACAATAACCTTAATAGTGATCTAATAACCTTTAAATTACAGGTCCAATTCTTTGCCACTAGGCTAATTTTTAAGTAGTAATTCAGCAAGACATTGTAATACCTTTTAA